TACACACACACACACACACACAGTCGGTGTCGTGTGCATCTCAGGCGTTGAAATTGAACCCAAACAGAGATATTAAACAACAGAAGGAATATTAATTCTGTCTAAAAACAACAAAGATGTCAATGGAAACAATCATTTACCTTTTCTCTTAAAAAGGCACTAAAGGTCCCTGCAGTCACTTCACCTCGTTGTAAAGGAATAAACCTTTTCATAGTGAAACACTAAAGAGTGCTTTTAAGAAGCGTGATCACGTTCTCTCTGACATGATAATCACAACACGTTATTCTATGCAGCGGTTTCCCCAAAGCAAAAGAGCACAAATCCATCAAAACAAAATAAAAACCTGACGTCCAAAGGATCCAACAAGGTCGCACTACCATAACATAGTGGTGACTGTGAGATCCACGTGTACACACACACACACACACACACACACACACACAAATACTTTCATGCATAAACAAGGCTCCATATTAATGACTCACCATAATAACGCTATACAGCCACGCCTGGAAAAACATCCATAATTCAGACATCAGGGCCAGACTGACACAACGCATTCACATCAACACCACGTGTGTGTGTGTGCGCACGGACCCATCGAGGGCAAATAAACAGCCGTCAACAGGAAGTCAACGACCGCAACTCAGCAACTTATTTGGCTGCGTCTGTCGTTCCCTCTGCTGACCGGCCGGCTGCAGATTGCGAGCTTTTGCTTCAAAATCAGGTGCTTTTATTCTGAAATGTTTTCATTCAAGTTTAGTTCATTTCGCGCAACAGAAATAGAACAACATGAAAAGATGGATGACGTGCGTGTGTGTGTGGCACGTGTTAGGGGATGCTGGTTCATAAACCTGAATTACCTCCTCAACACCAGTGATACTGCAGATGTTACATAAAACAAGGGATACATCCAGTAATAAATAAAGCGCGTCTTTTAAAGACGCATTGTGTAAGAAAGTGGAGCTCACCGTCTACCGGCTGGATCGAGGCCCGTGTGGCCGCTCTCGGCGAGGCTCTGCAGAGTCTCTCATCTGTAACGTTTTCACAAAACCCTCCAGATTCAAATGTTCCTTTATTTGATGAGGAAAAACTGCACGTAATTCTGATTCAGGATCAGAACGCAGCCCTCCACCAGCTCACGCGTGCAGCTTTGAGGACGTGACTTTGAAAACGTTTTTCCCAATTAAAAAAGACGCCGAGTGCCCTTGCGCGTTTTACTGTCGCTACAGAATGTTTAGATAATTCATGTGATTAATTCATGTCAAAACGCCTCTTCAGGGACGTTCAGCCTGTGGTGTCACCCCAAGTTCGAGGACCGCTGCCACTCGGTGGTGGAGTTCATCGAGCGAGCCATCATGCACTCCAAGAACGGCAAATTCCTCTACTTCCTGCGGTCCCGAGTGCCAGGTGAGGAAAAAAAGCGTCGCCTCTGGGTGTCTGCGTGCACTGGAAATAAACGCTGCACATGAGGAGAAGCACCAGCTTCACCCCGTGTGTGTGTGTGTGTGTGTGTGTGTGCGTGTGTGTGCGTGTGATTCAGGGCTTCCTCCCACCCCGGTTCAGCTGCTGTATCCGGTGTCTCGCTTCAGCAACGTGAAGTCACTGCAACACCTCTGTCGCTTCTGCATCCGACAGATGGTCCGCATCGACCACATCCAGGAGCTTCCGCTGCCCAGGTACGCCCCCCCCCCCCCCACCCAGACACACAACTTGGGGGGGAGCTGCTTTTCATCTGGCATCTCACCGTGTCAAGACTTCGCCGCGGAAAAGCGGTCTCTACCTCTTTGGTATTGAGAACGGTTCTGATGAACCTTTGCTGAAGGAGATTGGGACATTCGACTTTTATCCATTTGATTCTAAAAGCTTCTGATTTATGTTAATTCTAGGTAATGGTGGTCACAGAAGGTTGTTGTGGCTTTTACAATTTTGTTTAAAGACAATGTGGTTGTTTAAAATTTCTCAGCGAGAAACGCTTTCATTCAACCCATGACTATTAGCCTGGATGCTAACACTTTAGCATACGCTGCGCAGGGGGGATTCGAGCCACTTTGTGTTCTCACGTCTGTCGTGGGCTCTCCTCCAGGCCGCTGATATCCTACCTGAGTAAGTTTTATTACTACGACCCAGAGGAGGAGACGTACCTGTCAATCAAGAGCATCCGGAGGGTGGTGGGTGCAGCACAAGAGGCCGAGTCGCAGACGTAGCAGCGGAGATCTTCTCAGCTCAAGTGAGTGTTTATATATATATGTGTGTGTGTGTGTGCAGTGAATGAGTGACACGCTGTGGCCATTCCAGAATCACTGCCGTTCCTCTCACTGTATAATCGTACGAATAAACAAATTAGGTGTCCGGCTTCACATAATTGCAGATTAACTTAACGGAAAACTCAGCAGAACCCGCGGAACATTCAAGAGGACGATGTTCATTTAGTAAATGATGGTCCATTTAGAGTCAGACAGACTTCTCTGCATTCCAGTGCATTTTTTGTGGAAAAAAAGCAGTAATTCACACAATGCTTTGAAACCTCAGTCCACTAACTAACTATGTCCACCTCTTGCATGAAGTCTGTGGGGGACAGAACATTTTGTCCATCGTGTGGCTGTGACGGTGAATCTCATATGTCATTTAGTGTTCCTGACGCATGTGGTGACGAGCGGCTTTGCGCCTGCACCAAACCCAGGTTTCCGTGTGGAGGACCGATCCGTGCCGGTCTGCCAGCATCGGCCAATCGGAGCCCCTGGATGCTTCCACGTCTCCAGCTGGACTCGGAAGGACCCGCCTCTCTCTTGACTCCGGACCAACCAAAAGAGGGACGAGTGTTTGCGGCCGTGCGGCGGAAAGAGACAGTCGGGGAGACATCCGGGTGTAAGAGGACGCGGCCTCGTCTTCGGTGGGACTGCAGAGATGTTCTCAGTGAAACAAGAAGGAGGATTATGAACTCAATTAGCAAAATCTCCCCTGAATCTACCGAACTGGACTTCTAAAAACCCACAATGCACTGGTCCATTCGTACAACTGTCGTTTGCTGCCGTCACCCTGTTTTTCCTTTCCATGCTGTGCAAAAGAAGGGTTTTATGGATTGAAAGTTCGCCCTCAGGAGGGACACACACACAGAGGCAGGGCCGAGGTGTTTAATGAGACCAAGTCACCATGTTGGAGGACCCATAATCTCATTTCTTCACCGGATTCCTTGTTTCTGCACCGTAAATAACAACGTTTTAATGTCAGCTACAACGCTAATGCATCTGGAATGTATATTAGATGTCTCGCACATACAGATTCGTTTAAAATTCAATTCAACCCTCAATTAAATGTCTTGGTTTTTGCTCGTTCTTCCTTTTCCTCGGGCAGTTTATCTTGTTAATAATTAATATTTATACCCAATAAGAGATGCATCCGTCCCTCTGATGTCACGTTAGTTGCTCCTCTGCTTCAGTCTCATCAGTTTCTTGCAGCGAGCTGTGATCAAAATTGGACTTTTGAATCCCGCCCACAGAGTTCTGATTGTGACCCTTTAGGCCACGCCCACGGCAGAGGGGTGAGTGGTTCTCACCTCCGGTGTGGGCGGGGCTTGGTGGCGCCGGAGGTTCCAGCGGTTTTCACATTAACTGAACCCTGAATTTCTCATGTCTTCATGTCCCTCCTCCAACATGGTGGATTGTGCCTTCGGTTCGAAAACATCTGACCTCCAGTTCAGAGTAAAAAAAAAAAAAAAAAAAGCAGTGCGGTCATTCTCGTTGTCATAGCAACAACAAAAATCATCAGGTTCGTGTTGGGTGGGTTTTAGAAAATATTTTGGAATGTAGCGCTGTCGTGGTTTCCTACATTTCCCAGAATCCCCCTTTTGCAACCTTTACGTGATTGCTGGTGTTTTAAATCTCCTGAACAGCGTCTCATACACAATGCACCACGTGTCATGCAGCTGCATTGCATTCTGGTCCATCGAGGCTCTCGCGCGACACCAAAGAAGAAAACAAAATCTGAGCAATGCTCACGTTGTATCGCAGACCGCTCGTTGGAATGGAAGTCACAAGCAAAGCACGAAGAGGGAGATTTGTTGCTGTGATAAAAAGGAATTTTATTTTGCTATAATTGGTGCACTTGTCAACAAGTGTCTTTATTCAAACAGAAGAGGGTTTTGCAAAAAAAAACCAAAAGGCGTTATTTTGAATTTGGCGTTGCAGCATCGGGGGTCTGTGAGCCTCATTTTCCCATAATGCCCTGCCTCAGTGTGTGTATCTGTGACTCATCTCTACCTGTCAGTTTTATTTGTTGAAATCGCCCAGGTGTATTTTTGCTGAAGCTACTGGCTCAGTGATTTCAGTATAAAAAAAGCTGAAAAATAAAACAGGTCTCTGTGTGGTATCGTTTTAAAAACAAACACGTTTCCGGCCTTTATAATTATCATAAGAAATACAATGATACAGTATTTTAGAAGTATTGAGGTTCCAATTTTTTCAATGATGTCTTTTTTAAAAACGTGCAACAGCTTTAGAATATACATTTCAGGTCCAACTTCCTCTCTGAAGCTCTGAACCACATGACATGGCCTCGCTCGCGCATGGTGCTGCTCAGTTGTCATGGAGATGGTTTTGCTGTCGTGTAACTGATAAATGGATGCACAAGTCCAGACTTGGGTCACTGGTATAAAGGTCTCCATAGCAACGGAACCAATGCAGCGTAATGTGGGAAAAATCTTCAAAAATTTGACTTTGTGATGAGATTTCTTTGGTTTTTTTTCCCTCAAGTCTGAACCTTCAGTTTGAAAAGCTCTAAGGCAAATTAGATGTTAAATGTTTTTTAGTAGTAACACTCAATCCAACGTTTTTTCCCAAAAATATGGTCTAACATCACCAACAATACCTGCATTATTTATGTAGTGTAATTGAATGATTAATCGATTATCCTGATTAGCTGATTGTCCGTCCATCATTTAATTGACTAAGCTCACATGTTCTTCGGCCCTCCGAGGGTCTACTCTCCATCGAAGCTCGACAGCTTCTGAAGCAACTCTTTCATTCTTTTAACGGCCGCCGTTTGCTTTGAAATGTTTGAGGCTGAATCCTCTCCGGCTCGCTCGGGAAGCTCGTCAAATGGAAATATATTCCAGCTGAATTATGCAGCTCTTTCTCTCAGAGACTCTCGGGGAGACGCTGATAGACAGTATCTGCCCCCCCCCCCCCCCCACCACTAAACACAGCACACTTGAGTTGAGGAGGGAGGAAGAGCTTTACAGCTAAAAGCAGGACTCTGGTTTCCAGGATGAACGGGCGGTGAAAACAGACACGACTATGCGGTGAATAAGGTCAAGTGTGCTCCAGGGGGGGGAGGAGGGGTATAAAAGTACCCTGTGTGCAAGAGTGATATAATGAGGAAGAACAGCACCGCTCATCACCCGGCTGGAAAATGCTGGAAGCCCGACTCATCCGACAGACGGCCTCGACCGGACCTCAAGATGTGGTGGATCATAACGTCTTTACTTAAGTAAGGATTTGAGGTACTCATTTTATACTTTCACTACACATCTGTACATTCATCCCACACCATGAAGTTATGATTTTTATCAACAAATGTGGAAATAACCTGAATCGGTTGTTCAAGTAAAACATTTAGTCGCTTGATGAAAATGAACTGTTTGCATCATTTTTCATTTTTAAAATCATTTCATGGATCCAGCTTTACGAATGTGAGGATTTTCTTTCCCTTTTAAAAATGTAACTGGTTTGAATTTGGGCATGACCAAAACAAAGATTATAAAGTCACTTTGGACTCATTGTGAGGGCAAGAACCAAAACAAACCAACTATTGATTGATGGAGAAAGTAATCAGATGAATCCGTGATTTTAACAATACAGTTAATAGCTTAATTTGAGCTCCACAACTACCATCCTAAAGTAAGCGACTAAAGTGTGCAATTACATTTTAATGTAGCGTTAGCAGGCTATTTTTACATAATGGTATGAGTTATGTCATTAGGCAAAGTGAAGAACCTCTAATGCTTCCTCCACAAGTGCGTACCACGTGTGTTTCCTGTGTCCTTGTGAACGCGTTGATTAACGAATAAATATTCCCTTCAAACTAAATGCATATAATCCGTCCACGGGGGGTCACGTGCAGCGTGTATCACCACACATAACGGTCTGAGCCTCATAATTGAAACACGGGGCAGTTTAAACGGGTCACGCATCAGCGGCTCTCATCTTATTGGTTGACGCGGCTGTCACTCCTGCTCGGATCGCTCGGCCCTTAAACGCGTTCATTGGTCGTCGGCGACGTCAGTCGAGCCGCAGCCTCGCTGTGATAGGGCCCTCGCGTGTTCGCGGCCTACTTTTTTGGAAACGCCTCCGCCTTGCGCACATCTCGACATCCCATTGGTCGAGCCGCCATCCTCGGCGTGAGGAACATTGACGTCGCGCCACGATTGGCTCTCTTGAATTTCACTCACGCGGACGGCTCAAGCCGATTGGTCGTCTCGCGCTTCGCTCAACGCTCCATTGTCCGCCCATTGGTGCAGCGCGCGCGGGCGGATTCCTCCATGGGGCTCGGTCTTCAAGGCTCACGGAGAGCGAATGTCGTCATGAGCGGTGGGTAGGAATTAAAACATTGGTGTTTATATTACATTCTACTTCGTCTAACATTGTATTTGCGTCGGGTAGAAAAGCACTGGACGCTATGCGACACAAATACACGTGTTTTTAGGTGAGGCTCGGACAGTTGTGTGAGCCGAAATAAGCAATGCACTTCCGGAGAAAAAGCTGCTTTTTTTCTGTAACGTATTCAAAGAGAGTTTGACTTGCTAGCTTCGCTTCAGCTAGCCAGATAAGCGAGTGTTCGCTGCGGTCCTCTACTTACCCCTCCCTTCTCCCCCCACCCATCTACTCCACAATAAAATACAGCAATGGTGGCCCCATCTTGGTTGGTTTGAAAGTACAAACTAAGCCGCCCTCGGGTCAGATATGCTTAAGCTAGCTGCTAGCCACTTCAGTGTATCCTCGGTCAGTGTTGCTAGTTAGCCGGCTGGCTAGCTAGCCGGCTAACTACCGTTAGCTGGCTGTCCACAGCAAACCAAACCATCTGTGTTAGATGGCGGTGCTATTTTGAGGGAGCGGTGTTGTTTTTGTTTATATGTGTGCATCACTGTGGGCCACGTACTCACTCACTTAAAGTTGCATTGTGGAAACACTTTGTTACAAGTATTTCATTCAAAAGCGTACTCGAGTAAAAGAGCACAGGGATCTGGAGATTAGAATTTGAACCTAACGTTACAAAATAATGCAAAATGTTGCAGCTGCTAAAGATGGCTTAATTCATATCTGACGTTACTTTATTTCAGTGTTTCCATTGTAGGCAACTGTATACTTGTATATGGACATGTATTACTAACTATGTATCCCCAGATGTGTTGATTTCAAACTGAAGTGTTGCTTTGGGAGTTATGAAAAATCTCCTTCTTAAAATTTTCCGCACTCTTGAAAAGTTGACTTTGAGGAGTTGTTCTACAAACATATCAGGATCTCATAGAATGTGATTTATTTCTAACCTTTATCACCTAACAGCATATGACTGAGGTAATATCTGCACAGCTGTAACGTGTGGCAGTACAAGGCCACATTCACATCAATGCAACTCTTAACAGTAATCCTGAAACATCATAAATAAAAGCCACGTTTCCCGACACAATTATTCCTTTATTCGTAATGCCTGCCAACTTCCACTGATATATTGTTTCGAAGGTTGTAGCTTTGCTTATAATAGATAATGGTTAAGCTGTGATTCAGTAGTTTGACTCAAGTAAAATATCCGAATACTTCTTCCACCGCTGCCAAAAGTGAGCGTGTAGTCGCTCAGGGTGCTGTGGTTTCTCTGTGTGAAAGGTTTTGGTGCAATGATCCAAGACTGCAGTTATAATAGCTCACTTACAACAGACAACACTTCCTCTTTGGTCTGCTGATCAGCAGCCAAAACACAGTTCTGTCGGGGTAAAATTCCCTTTAGGCAGAGGAGGCGGTAGTTTTACGCAGCCAATGTCGCGGTTGCAGGTTTCATAACAACAGACTCTTGGTTTTCTTTATTTGAGGGCGGTTCTAAAGAAGTCCCGGGTTCCGCTTTTCACGTATCCCCACTGCTGGGTACGTTTACATCAGAGTCGCCCAGCTTACTTGTTACTACAGAAAAAATACTCGTCAGTCTTTGGCGATCCGTCGAAGATGAACAATTCTGCCAGATGAATGATGAAATCCCAATTTACAGATAAACACGGTGGCTGAAAGTAGTGTCCTCGCACAGATGGCACAACGCATCTGTGAGACGCTTTCAGGGGCACAAACTGCTCCACCTAATTGCTCACGAGTGCGTCGTGAAGTCAGCGTCTCTGGCAGGAACAGCACGTCGATGATGAATCTGAACTTTCCCAGCAGCCTTTGCGCTTCTCGCTGCGCGGTCGCCGCGTGGTCTTGTGTCACCTGCTGTTTGATTTAGCTGGTTGTGCCAAGTGGATGTGCAACTGCAATGGACTCAAATACTGCAGATGTTAATATTTCAGTTTGTTTACACGTTGGTGAATGATGATGACACATGTTGGGTTAAATCTGTAAAATGATTTAAGATTAAAATATATATCTGAGATAGAAATACTGTCTGAACGGAGTGTTTGTTTATTAAAGGTTGTGGCTATTTTGACTATTTACAAAATCATGATTTTATTCTTCTCTATACAGAAAGTTATGGTGTGAAAAACACTTGCAAAAACTAGGTATTAGAAATAGATAATTCCTCACCTTTCAGGGTTCGCTTTGAAATAAAGTTAACTCCAGAACTCAAAATGTGCTTTGAGGTAAATATTGGGCTGTTTTAAGTAACTTGACTTAGTGCAATAGATCGATGTTGCTCCACCCGAAACACAGTAGTCTTGAAAATGATTTGCTGCCAACGCATTGGAAGCACATCCAAAAATATATTCATCATTCCTGAATTCTATTCCGTGACATTTTCAACCAATCGGCATAATTACAAGCTTCTAGATGGCGTCTAGCGTTGGTCATCGGAGGGAGACGTCCCACAGTCATCCTTAGATGTGCCTTTGTGTTGTAGGAATGTCCCTGGGATGTCCTCAAAAGGGCCTTGGATGTGACTGCTGTGTCTGTGTGTGTGTGTGTTTTCCAGAACAACAGGACAGTATGGCCACCACTCTTGCTGTCAGTCCCAGTGAATACCTCCAGCCCTCCAACGCCTCCACGCAGGTGAGTACGCCGCGGCAGCTACTGGCGCCCCGAGAACACGAGACCCTCCATTTAATGCAACAAAAGCGTTCCTGCTCCAAAAATTAGTATTTGTGATACTTTGATTACGTCGGTGTCAACCAGCCCGGTCACAACTATTCGATTCCTTCTCACCTACATAAAGTGTCCTATTGTTTATACAAGTTTATTTTATCGTAGCTCAGGTGTGTGTTACAGCACATATAAGTACGACGATAAGTATCGTTTATCGTTATAATATCCTCTCTGTAGCATTGGAGCATCTCACCTGCTTCACTGTCTCTGTTCAGGCCGATTTTAATGCAGTCCGATTTGTCTCCGTGCAGGACGCCCAGCCCTCTCCCCTGGCCCTCTTGGCCGCCACCTGCAGTAAAATCGGCCCCCCCGCTGCTCAGGCTCCAGTCACCTCGCCTCCGGCGCAGCCGCAGCCTCGCAGGCTCCTCCCCATAAAGCCGGCTCCCATCGCCCCGGCGCCACCCAAGAACCTGGGCTTCCTCTCGGCCAAAGGCAATGTGATCCAGCTGCCCGCCGGCCTGGGCTCCGCGGCCCCCGGCAGCCCCATCGTGCTCACCATCCAGCAGAGCCCGGCCCGCACGCACAGCTCGGGCCCCGCCAACATCCAGTACCAGATGATGCCGCAGATCCAGGGCGCCCAGGCCATCCAGATGATGCCGCAGGGGGGTCAGATCCAGCTCATACCGGGCACCAACCAGGCCATCATCACCACGCCCATGACCGTGCCGGCTCCCGCCGCCGCTCCGGTCACGCCGCAGAAGGCAGTGGCCATCAAGCCCTCCCCGAAGCAGCGCAAGCCAAACCACTCCGGCGGCAACATGGTGCAGCTGGCCGGCGGGATAACGCTGCCGTACAACGTGGCGACGGGAGACGTGGCCGTCACAGAGACGCCGGCCGCCGCCCCCAAGCCAGGAAAGGGCGGGCGAGGGAGGAAAAGGAAGGTCGTTCTGGCTTATCCTCCGTCTTATCCTCCTGCACAGCCGGCCTCTCCACCCCCGGAGCAGATGGAAACCATCCTGATAGAAGCCGTAGACAACATCATTCAGGTACACCTGGCAGGGAAGCACCGGAGGAGCTTGTTTTCCTGCATTAATCGGCTCAGAGTGCATTTCATATTCATATGGAAGCAATGAACGATTGGGGAAAGCCTCATGAACTTCCATTTTCCTATTTAATGTCATTCAACTATTCCATTCACTCGTCATTAACACGTTTTTCCATCAAATTAAAACCCATCTTCCTATTTTCTTTTTCTGAATGTAATCAAGAGTTCCAGTTCGAGCCACAGAGCTCACGTATAGCAAGAAATCCAACTACTGAATAGCTAAATGTGGATATTTATCACTTCTTTTCAGTAACGGTGAGATGAAGTGAAGCTGTAATAGTGTGTTCTCATTGCTGTAGTAGTCCAACCAACTCAACTATTACACGCTTGCGGTTGCCGAACATCACAGATTGACCCTCTGCTGTCTCTCTCAGCAGGCAGGTAACAACCTCCTCATCGTGCAGAGTCCCGGCCAGCCGGCTATGGTGCAGCAGGTGCAGCTGGTCCAGTCCAAACCGGAGCCTCAGGTGGTGCAGATCCCCCAGCAGGCCCTGAAGGTGGTGCAGGCCGCCTCCGCCACGCTGCCCACCGTCCCGCAGAGACAGCCGGCCCCGTCGAGCCTGCAGATCTCGCAAGCGGAGCCGACGCCAACGCAGGTATCCGCCCACACACCTGTGGCCTCCCGTGCTGTGAAGTGATACGGACGCGTGTGTTTCTGCGTGTCGACATCGTCCTTGTGAGGATCCAACGTTTAAATAAACGTCTTCCCTCAGATCCTCTTCAAAACAGCCTCCGGCGAGTGGCAGTCACTCCAAATCCAGGACTCCGTCTCCCCGACCACGACGACGCCGACCGCCTCGGTCGTCACCACCTCGCCGCCGGCGGGCTCCAAGAGGACGGCGGCGGGAGGGCGGAAGGAACGGACTCTGGCGAAGATCGCTCCGGCGGGGGGGATGATATCGCTGAACACGCCGCAGCAGCTGACCTCGACGACGCAGGCCGTGCAGACGATCAGCATCAACGGGGTCCAGGTCCAGGGAGTCCCCGTCACCATCACCAACGCCGGGGGTGAGCTGGTGTTTGGGTTCATTTGGGGGTCCGGTGGTCGGTAACAACGAGAGGGACACGTGGTCGTAGGGCGTGAAGTGCATGGCCTCCATTTTAAAATGTCTTTGCTATTGCAAAAAGAACGAATTACCAAATGTTTCTGGAAACTCTGGAAAATAATTTCAGAATTACTGAACTAAAGTAATTAATTAAATTGTAATTAAAGTTACCGTTGCTGTGATTTTAAGGTTCAGAGCATCTCCTGCTTCATGGTCAGAATCTACTAAATGAACATCATGCTGTATTGAAGAAGACTTGAACTAGAGACAGACCATAAACTCATGTTTACAATGTTTACTGAGGGAATAAATCAAGAGAGAAGAGTCATTTTCTTTATTATGGGAGCAGAGGAGTCGCCCCCTGCTGGTCAGTGGAGAGAATGCAAGTTTTAAGACACTTCCACATCGGCCTCACTGCCTGGTCACCATGTCAACGACACCATTAATCATTCATTACAATGTCTTTTTAGAGGAGCCCTGCACCGGTGTCTCTTACAGTGTCTCCGTCTCTTGTCTTTGTCAGGCCAGCAGCACCTGACGGTGCAGACGATGCAGGGTGGGGGGCTCCAGCTGGCAGCATCCCCGGGCCAGCAGGCCATCCAGGTGGACCAGACTCTCACCCTGGAGCTGCCGGGCCCCCCGGGAGAGAAGAAGAGACGCATGGCCTGCACCTGTCCCAACTGTAAAGACGCAGACAAGAGGTGAGTGTGTGAAATACGCATAACATGTATAATGAAATCACAATATTACACTTTCTGGATAATGTGAGTAGTGAAACATTCAATTAAAACACAAGAACTGACTCGTCACGGCCAAATTGTCGAGTAGTTGTTGAAGCAAATCAGACATTTAGAGAATTGTATGTAAAAAATAAAAGCCATTTTTGCACTTAAGTAGGTCTCCTCTTCTTTTACGAAAGTGCAACATTTAAGTCTTAAGTTTACGTTGAATGAATTTGTTACTTTTGAATTCTCAGCTCTACTGTTGAAACCGGTAGATCTCACTGTGTGTGTGTGTGTGTGTGTGTGTGTGTGTGTGTGTGTGTGTGTGTGTGTGTGCGCAGGCCCGGTGAGGTGGGGAAGAGGAAGCACATCTGCCACGTCCCCGGCTGCGATAAGACCTTCAGGAAAACGTCGCTGCTTCGAGCTCACGTCCGGCTGCACACCGGCGAGCGGCCCTTCGTCTGCAACTGGGTTTTCTGCGGCAAACGTTTCACGCGCAGCGACGAGCTGCAGCGGCACGCCAGGACGCACACAGGTCTGTCTGCTGGACACACGCACACACACACACGGGTGACATTTACCGGAGACTAAACCTAAAGCAAAGATAAATGAGTCAAGTTAAAAGCTACAAATTAGATTATTCTAAGCAAAGAAAAAGGAGATGATGAATTGCAATAATAAAGATGGGGAAGTGATTCTAGATAATAAATGCAGAAAAAACTATCATGAACAGTTGATAAAATCAGTTTCATCTCATGTATTCTTTCATTCATTAAAAAGCCTCGTCTTCTGTCCGTCCCCCGCAGGAGACAAACGCTTCGAGTGCAGCCAGTGTCAGAAGCGCTTCATGAGGAGCGACCACCTGACGAAGCATTATAAGACTCACATAAACACCAAGAACCTGTGAGGACGGACTAACACTAGAGACTAAAGCGACTCGCCCCGTGAGGGCAGGTGCTCACTCCTCCGGGACACTGTGAGGTGTACAAAGAAAACCTTCTGGTGGACTTCAAAGCGTCCAGAAAATCAATTAATAATAGTCCTCCTTTCTTTTTTGTGGATTCTGGAACCGGCTCCGACCGAAGACGCTGAGCCGCTTCACTCGCTTATTTATGAACTTCTCCGGAGGACGAACGTACAGGACAGCGAGACCACAGGACTCCAGCCGCTGTCTCTTTTATTATTATTCTCCCGAGTTCGGCCTGCATTCTTTTTTTACTTTTGTTGTGGACCGGTGGGAGATCCCAGAAATTGGCTTTAAACATAAGGAAAGAAAATTACTGTATACATACATATGTATACAGTGTGTTGAATTTTCCATATATATACATATATGTGTATATATATAAATATATATATTACATAAAAACTCCACTTCCAAGACTTTTGAAAAGCTTTTAGAAGTTTAACTATTTTTTAAAGTGTGTGTATGCATACTATTATATATAATATTAATATTGATAAGCTATTTATAACATTTTTCCATGCAATTGTTAAAAATGGATTCACACGGTAAGGATGTAAAAACCTGAGAAATAAAAGAAATTAGTCCTAAAGCGGGAGGACTAACGCAGGATCACAAATAGGCTGTAAAAAGCCTGTTTGGTGTGCGACGGTACTGAGGAGGTACTGGAGTCTCTGGTGGAAGAGTTTCACTTCACGGGGCGAAGGAGCCACATTACAAATCTCTAAACAATGAGTGAAGAGATGCTGAGATCTGATGAGTAAACTGAAATCGATTCTGACCACCGCTGAGAAATCTAAACGCAACATCAAATTACCGACACATTTCAAGGTCGGCAAATACAAATGATTTCATTCTTATTCGGAAATGTATGTTGAAATTTGACTTGAAAGTCACATTAGAACGTGACTAAAAGCAGCAATCTTATCTAGTTGATCAGGACTGTTGTTTTTCTTTCATCACCATTTAAGGACATTTCATTAATTTGGTAATAAGTCTCCCATCACGATAGAAACACGTAAGCCGACACCAGTAGAGGACCCGGGGTCGATCCTTGTGGGACTCCAGTTCAAGTGTTGCGTCTGCGGAGGTCGAGGTGATGCAGGATGTCACATTATTGATGTCAAGTTATTTCACGACATCTCACGTGATCCGACTAACACCTCACTGAGGAACCACAGGAAACGGCGTTGAGTAACTTCTCTTTTCCCGCCGAGGCTCCGCAGTTGAGCCTCCTTTATTTCTGGCAGACGGCATCTCATGTCTGAGGGGAGGGACGATTTCATTCATGATGTGTGTGTTTTTTGGGAAAGTACCGCTCTGTTCCTGTGTGTTTAAGCGGTGGGGCCGAGTCGTACCTCTGGAACAAATCACTTCCTTTTTTAATGAGTCCCTGGGTTGAATTGTGATGTCACTGATCACCTCCGAGATGAACCCGCTCTTTTCCCTGTGCGACGACCCGCAGCGCCTCCGTCTGGGCATCAGACGCCCGTATTTACCGAAACGTGTCCTCACCGCGGAGTATCAAAGCTGTCGAGTATTGAGAGGTGGCATCCAATATTTGTCGGGGTTTAAACTCGTATTAACTGTTCTTTCATCACATAGTTCCTGATTTGAATCAGAACATTTAGACAGTATTCTGTTCAGTTCTTTGAATGTCTGCGTGTGTGTAGACGTTTTATTTGAACTCTCCTTCTATTAAAAAGAAAAGATTGTTGTATTTTTTACTTGAAAGGTTTCGCATCTTCACTGTGGCATATGTGTTGGTAAAAAAACGTGTTTAATCTTGTCAACATACAAGGTATCGTAAAAAGTGCGATTCCCAGCCCTACTTACACTGTGTGTACTAATAAATAAGTAAAGTCCAGAGTAACGCTGCTATTCTGCTTTACTCTCGTCGGCATCTTGATTCGTGGATTTGAAGCCTCATGCACTGATGTGTGTGTGTGTGTGTGTACACGGCCGTACTTTAATTACTCTGACAATCACATCCAGACATGAAAGAAGAAAATGCTTCCATCGGTTACCTTGTTTATTATTCTTTGTTCATATTATTTAGCTTGAAGTCTGAACCTTTAATTTTTTTTAAATGAGCTCGGTGGCGTCGGACAGCAGGCGGCGGCTTCTTGCATTGAGCGTTTTGATTCTGTGAAAACATCCAACAGCAGAACTTTGACCAAAAAAAGCACTTTGAAGCGTTTTTATTCACCGTTATTTATTCAAATAACAGGTGAAGCTGACACGGAGGTGGCCAATATTTGGTGAATTCTTTCTGAGAATGTCTGAAGACACGCGATGCCGTTGAGGATGGACGCAGCTCATATTAATGTTTCTACTTCCTGACTGAATGTGTAAATAACGTAGGATGTATAAACACTGAAGTGAAGCTGCCCACTGCTGAAGGAAACCTCCTTTGTGTGTAAGGAATAAAATATAATGTGATATTATATAGCTTCATTCCTGCTTTGTATAAAACATCTAGACCTTTTTTCTATTGAATTTAAAATGCCTTAAAAAGCTGCACCCAGTATTTAAAGATGTTCGTTTTGTGTCTATTTCCAGGTAACATTTGTAAAACTCCTTTGTGTTTTTAACTCATGTTACATGCTAATGAAATGTGCACTGATTTAAAATCCCCAGGTTCCAAAGTTTGTAAAATGTAATTCCTTATTTTAATGAAATATAATGTTCCATATTTAAACGTTTTACTTTGGTTTCGGCAAGTTAAATGCTTCTCCTTTTCCAGCCGCATGTGTCATTTAATGTTCTGGTTTATTGGAGAACCCCAAAAAATCAGCAATTTATTTCTTAAGCTTTTATAAAGGTGCTAATAAGTTTGCTCCTTTTCTACGGTCACACCCCTCAATAAACAACTCAAACCATTTTGGCGCGTCTCCTATTTTTCACTCCAATGTTTTAAGTCCTCAATACTTTATTTTCTAAAGCTAGAACATAAAATAAAAACAAAAATAAAGTCCTTGGTTTATTCCCATTGAAGTTTAAACAGCCGTCTTGTAATGTTGATGAGACACGCATTCTTATCTTTAAGATAAAAACAAAGAAAAGTAACTTTAATTTAAACATATGGATTTAATTACATCTATTTCAGACATCAGTACAGTAACATTAACATTCTGAATATGCTTTATGTAACAATAAGGTAACAGTTCGATTGTAACCAAGTTAACTGCATTTATTCTACTTACTTTTTAAATATAAACAACGTATTAATGAACAGAACATTGACCCATTCGATTCTTTACTTTAAGAAGTAAGTAATCTAAATAGGACTTTGCTTTACAAAAATATGTCGGCATTGGACATTTATTTTGAAAAGCTGGACAGCGTCACTGCCGTGCGTCATCAGGAAGCGACGCGCAATGCCTGCTAGCTGAGTAAACGCCGATAAAATGTAAAGGTTGCTTATCTTAACTTTATCCCATTCTTGTTGTTCTCGGGGTATATTAAGCACGTGTTTGTGGCTCCAGTGTCCTATTTGCATTTTACTTATGTTAGCGTGACAGTGCCGTTTAAACAAGATATTTGTTAGCTGAGCTAGCTAGCTAACGTTAGCTCCGTTTGTTTACATCTGATTCACCTGCTAAATACTAGTCAGCAAACGACTTTATTCTTCTGTTGTCCGCTTTCATTTTCTTCTGCTACACGTGCAGCTTAAAGATACGAAACACATTTAGGATGTAAACTCACCGACACGTGAAGTAACGTTATGTCGGTCTAACGGGACCTCGTGTAGGAAAGGGTTGAATGTTGATGGTGTCTCTCAGGTAAAAAAATATAAATGGGATGTCCGTTAGATTTAGTTTGTAATGTCTTATGTTGTATCCAGTCAGATGGCTGACAGGACAGCGTACAGTTATTTGTCTTTTATGTCTTTGGGTTGTAGAAAGTCATCTTGCCAAATATATGTCATATATTAGTTGTATGTTGAGGAGCTTTAAAATGGTTTAACTAGAGTTATAATTGAAAAAGTAGAAAGAAACAAAGATCCCATTTAGTGATCGTTAAATAAGATGGGGAAAGAAAGGGGAAGCCTGGCATCAAAATATTGGCACATTTGAATAAGAAATGTTTTCTCTCTCCATCGCGTACAGTTAGCGACTCATCTTGTGGCCTTCAGGTATTTTCTAGGATGACGGCGGTCCGACGGGAGGAGAGATGAGCTCATCTGGGCCGGCACAGCTGATCGCGGGCCTCTGTCATTCGGACGAGCAGAACCTCTTCCCCGTGTGGCAGCATGGACGCGTCGGCGCGTGTTTTAACCAGCTGGTCCTCGGAGCGCTGCCTCACGCCGGGATGGCCATCTTCAGCGCCTGCTACCTCGGCGCGGCAAGGTGGCTCCACAAATAGACTTTAGTCCAGACTAGACTTTACTACTTTACATTCACTTCCTGGTCCAGACGGTTCATTCATGCACTAGAACTTCTGGATCTTTGGGTCTGATGAGCTGAATGCATGAAGTCTCACTCTACTGATCATCCATTTGTGATGCTGTAAATATTAGTGGAAGAATGAATCAACGGCGCTATTTAGAAACACTCGAGTCCTTGAAAAGGAAAAACATTGTTTTTGTAACAAGGTATTATATGTGCAGTAACGTCACATGCCGGTTGTGGAAGAAACTCGTTATGAACGCTTCCAAAAAAGTGAAATTAAATTATTTGCGTGTTTATTCTTCACCTGCCTCTTGTCCAGTTAATCACTTCTTTGATAAAAAAATAAATGCATGTTTTCACACAAGGTTAGTTTGATGAAATCTCTTCTTCACCATACAAGTGGGTAAAAAAGTAAAGCTTTTATTATTGACCACAAAAATTAATTTCATAGCCCACATGTGTTGTAATTTCCGTGTAAATGCTTCTGCTCCGCAGGTGCGACCCCCTCCGGGCGCCCCCCCCCTGCGGTTGGACGCTCCGCCGGGTCGCGGCTCTCCTGGCGGCGCTGCTCTTCGCTGCCGACGTCGTGCTGGCGGGCCTCCTTCGGCGGGCCGACTTGTACCTGGACGCGCTGGCCGACGGCTGCGCCGTCCTGGCCTGGCTGGTCCACCTCGGCGCCGTCACGGTGCTCCAGAGGACGGCGTCCAGGAGAACCAGAGGACCTCCTCTGCTCCCTCTGCTGGTCCTTCTGTCCGTCCCGAACCTGGTCGTCACTCTGGTGACCCTCTGCCACGACCGGGAATGCTTGAACCTGGCGGCGCCTCTAGAATCTTCCCGCTTTGTGCTCGCCTCGGCCCGGACGCTCCCCCTCCTGGTTTACCTTCTGGCTTTTGCGTTTCCCTGCATCGGCGATGCCGGATACGCTTTGAGCATCAACGACGCGGACGGATCCCCGCTCGTCCCGCAGGGCGCCCGGCCCGACACGGGCGAGGTGGTGGCCGAGGACGGCAGCGGCTGCGTCTCTCGGCTCTTCTACCTCTGGCTGACGCCGCTCCTCAGGCGGGGCCGGCGGGGGGAGCTGGACCGACCGGCCGACGTCTATCACCTGCCCCGGAAACTTCGAACCGCCGTGGTTTGCCGCCGCTTCCACCAGTGCTGGGAAGCCTGCCGGCGAGGCGCGGCGGCCGGAGACGGGCGGGACCAGTGGCCCCGGCCGGTCAGCGGGAACCTCCTGAGCGGCACCTGGAGCTCGCACTACCAGGAGGAGCCGCTGGCGCTGGAGGGCGACGTGGGCCTGCTGAGGGTGCTGCACAAGGCCTTCGGCCCGCGTTACTACGCGCTCGGCGCGCTGAAGGTGGCGGTGAACATGCTGGGCTTCACGGGCCCGCTGCTCCTCAGCAGTCTGGTGAACTTCGTGGAGGACGCCGGCGCTCCGGTCAGCCGGGGCGCCTGGTGCGCGCTGGGGCTCTTCTCCACCACCCTCCTCGCGTCCTTCCTCCAGAACATCTTTGTCTTCGAGGTGTCCAAGGTGGCGCTGTCGGCGCGCGCCGCCCTGGTGTCGGCCGTTTACGGCAAAGCCCTGCGGGTCAGCGGCTGCAGCCTGGCCGGCGCCGCGCTGGGGGAGGTGGTGAACCTGATGAGCACGGACGCCGACCGCGTGGTCAACTTCTTCGGAAGCTTCCACGAGCTGTGGAGCTTGCCGCTGCAGTTCGCCATCACCCTCTACCTGCTCTACCTGCAGGTGGGCGTGGCCTTCCTCGGAGGGCTGGGCGTGGCTCTGCTGCTGGTGCCGCTCAACAAGTTCCTCGCCTCCCGTATCCTTAGCAACAACCAACAGATGCTGCGGCACAAGGACAGCCGTGTTAAGGTGTCGAAGGAGGGAATTTATTTCTCACCCGTGAACTATTTCCCCTCAAAAGAAGAATGCAGAGATTCACGTTTTTTTTTCTTCCTTTCCCTCTCAGTTGATGACGGAGATCCTCTTCGGCATCCGCGTCATCAAGTTCTACAACTGGGAGCCTCATTTCGCCCAGAAGGTCGCCGGGTGCCGCGAGCGAGAGCTGTCCCACCTCAAGGCCCTCAAGTACCTGGACGCCATGTGCGTTTACACCTGGGCCGCTCTGCCCGTGGTCGTCTCCATCCTCACCTTCGTCACCTTCGTGCTGCTGGGACACCAGCTGACTGCGGCCAAGGTGGGGAAGCGCTTTGCCAAAGGTGGTGGTCAAGCTGGGAGGGAGGGGGGCAGATTCGCTGTCACGTGGTACATTTATTTCTTTTGACACGAGGGAAAAGAGTCAACGTTGCATTTGCAGCTTCTTCCATGTAGTTTATCCCTGGATGAGAAGCAGGAGAGACTGGGTTTTACTAATATTTATACCACTCCAATACATCAATCTTCTAATGGTTATTTAACCAATAAATATTTCAACTATTATAAAGTTTATCACAGTTTTTACACACTTTGTATTCTAGGTTTCTTCTATTAAAGATCACGTTTGTAGGATTCAGAGGTTCAGCATCGTGCCGATGCCCTTAAATGATTCCGTAACTTCCACAACTCTGATAAAAGTCTCTGATGGAATCGTTTCACGTTGCAAGGTTGGATCTTGAATGAAGACGGTGGTTCTTCTAGTCAGATCTTTTCTTCTTCTTTTGGACCCCCGGTTGCATTTACACGCTGTCGTACTGAACCTTACAGGTGGTTTCAACGGGTCATTTCCGCTCACTTAATTCGCCCCCCTGCAGGTGTTCACCACGCTGGCTCTGGTGGGAATGTTGATCGTCCCCCTCAACGCTTTTCCGTGGGTGCTCAACGGCGTCCTGGAGGCCAAGGTGTCTCTGGGGCGGATCCAAGGCTTCTTCAAGCTGACCAACCAGGACCTGCGGGCGCACTACGGCGTCGGTACGGCGGGTCCCTCCCCTCCTGCGCTAACAACACGTGTGCACGAAATGAGCAGTGAAGTACACATGTTCTCCACGTCTGCCCCAGTGTCTCCTGAGGACGGCGAGACAGCGATCCTGCTGAGCCAGGGGACGTTTTCCTGGCAGGGCCCCGAGGGTCCGCCCCTGGACAAAGAGGGAGGAGCTACGGGGAGCCTGCTGCTGCTGCAAGGCCTCACTCTGCACGTCGCCAAGGTGCAGAGGAGACTCGCGTCTCTGGACCGTCGCGTTCTCTTCGAGAGCCGAGGAGCGAAAAGAGCCGCTAAGAAACACACGCGAAACGGAACAACACTCAATAGGAATTTGAGAATCTGAAATTCAGTCGCTGCGTCTTCAGTGGAATCCAGTGATTAAATGAATTCATGTTCCTGTTGTTTCCTTCGTGGTTGATTGTGCGTCTGCCTGCAGGGTTCTCTGGTCGCGGTGGTCGGGAAGGTCGGCTGTGGGAAGAGCTCCTTACTGGCTGCTCTCACCGGGGAACTCAGCAGGTACACCACCTGCAGTGCACCACCTGCAGTGCACCACCTCGACTACATTAACTCCTGTACA